AGGACTGGAGAAGGAATTGTCAGATTTTACAGTGCTAATCGAGAAGCATATATCATGTAGAATAATCTTCAGGATTGTTGGTCTGTGTTGGAGGCCCAGTGACCCATCAGGCTGGCGCTTGTTATCGCTTGTATTAATCGAGTGGAAACCAAACTGGCACGGAACTTTAAACATCCTACGACTTTATTTGTTTACACGAATATGAGTTTGACTAGGAAAAATGACAAGCAAATAGAAAATCAATTCAACAATAATAAATGAAGGAAGCTATGCAAATAATGAAGAAAACCATAACAAACACGACTTACAGAAATACCACCAGAAGAATAAAGTAGAAATTGAACAGATCCTGGATACGTACGCGATGCACAATTTGCTCGAATGGATTAACATAACGAAACCGTAGCTCTTATTCGTATAAATACGCGGGCCAAAAATGTAAATTGTTTGTCCCGTAGGGATATCATGATTTCAATAGGGAACGAAAACAATAGAAAGCAACGCAAGAATGTCACAGCGCTTACCTCCGGTTTTCGTAGCATGAATACTCCCCCCTCGGTGAGATGCTAGTTCATCGCGGAGTTACCCCCAGCATTAAGTTCGCCGGTAACCATTTATACGCCTGGATAGAAAGAGGCACTATGAGAGTAGAGTTACTTTTCTTGTCCAATAACCCAAATCGAGCACTAATGGTGTAGGCCACTACACCAGTACAAGGAAACGCAACATAAGTCTATTCTTAACCTGAGGTAGTCTTAACCCTTACTCAATCTTTAAGGACGTTTGGGCTAATTGTTTCTGCGCATCCTTACTGCGCACGCAAATTCACACGCCACGGCATGCATGAGAGCGGGCGCTAAGTTAACTTATAAAATAAACTATGATAGGGCAGATGGCCACTGCTATAGCTTTGCCTTGATTTTACGATCTTGGACGTTCAGTGACCCCTAGTTTTCTTTTGATGGATCATTTTCTCTACCGATTTTCTTTGTTTAGCGAAAAAATGAAGAAAATCTATCGACTATAGTTTGAATTTTTTGCAAAATTCCGTTCCTTTTTAGCTCTTCGTTTATCTGTGCGACGGTTTCAAATGCCTCTTTAAGGGTTAAGTTTTGTGAAAACGTTGGTAACATTTGGAATTATTTACGCAACAGACTCGACACTTCTACAATATGGGACTAAGATCGTTTGCCTCGATCCAATGACTCACCTTCGACATTTTTAACTATAAACCCCTGTAGACCATGCTGAATTACGGGCGCCAATTTTTCACTGAAAATCAGGGTAGTTTTCCACACGCTTTACCTCTGAAACGAAGTAGGTGACCCCCAATTTGTTTTTGCATTTCTGACACAAGTACCTCATCTGACTGTAGTAACAATTTTAAAAAATCTATCAACTGGAAAATTTTCGTCGGAACCAGTCCTTAAACAACATTCAGATAATCCACTGGAATCGAAACACAGCCACCTATCCAAATGTCCTTAAAATAACTGCTGATAAAAAGTAACTCCTCACGATTTATTTAGAAAAAAAATGAACTCGGCCTTTTCTAAATTCTTCCCTAAATTTAGTGTCTAGCGGAGTTCTTTGAGGAGCAAAACGCAACTGTTTCCTCCTTATATACCACTTGAGCTTTTTGTTTGTTCGTCGGTTTTTGAGACCATATTGGGAGATACGGAGTTTCATTTCTCTCACGTGTGAGTACTCGGTAGACAAAATACTAAGATAAGAAAGAAATGTTTCTGACAGTTTATTGAAATATAGCCAATTTTGCATCCCTTTTATGCATATTGCATGTTTTTGATTCTGTTCGTCAGAAAATTGGAGCATCCTCACATTGTAAAGTTTTATGGCACATCCCTTCTCAAGAAGGAGCGCACCACAAGAGTGATCCTGGTAATGGAAAAGTGCAAAGGAAGCTTGAGGAGTCAGATCTTCGATCAGCCAGAAGCAGCTCCAGCAAAATCCAGAAACCCTGCTGTCCTTAGAGAAGTGTGTCGATGGGCGAGACAGATCACCAGTGCTCTTACGTTCATTCACGAACAGGGGGTTGTCCACAGAGACCTCAAGCTAGCGAACATATTGGTATGAGGCTGAAGTATTTTTGCTGAGCCAGTTTAAAAATACTGACTAAATATTGCTTAAAATGTATTCTGATTTTCTTTAAATTGAATGAAACATCAGGAAATCTGTTTCCGAGTTTGAAAGGGTAAAAATGCTTTGAAACCTAAGTAAAATTCGATAATGAATCAAATTCTTTCTAGTTTTGAGAACAGAGTTGTACATACACAAGTACTCTTAGACACTTAATTTCTCTTAGCAGAACAATGCAGTGGGCAGTGGGAAATACCAAATGGGAAACTGAAAATGGGAAATTGTGGCCAGCTATTAACGAAATCCCCATTCTCTATTTCTGTTGTAGATACCCATGAACATTTGACTATATTTGAAAAAATTGCGAGGCTTCAAACGTTCCACC